TAAGCGATTGCACTGATGATGGTCAGGCCCGTGGGAGTGAGGAAGAGAACGAGGAGGAGGAGGAGAAAGAGGAGGACGAGGAGGAGGGAAGGAAACTCCTTCCTGGCCCCAGTGTAGTACAGTGGGGGCCCGAGCACAAGAAACCTTCCACAAGAAACCTAACCCTGAGACCCCAGGTCTCCACTGTAGCCCCTGCTCCCGGGCTCTGACTCGACGCCGATCCCAGGCCCAGGACCCTTTGTTTGTAAAGGGGCACAGGGACACACAAAGACGTAGACACAAGTCCTGGATGTCCCCAATTTTCCCTCGTTCTCTGGGTTTCCATATACCCCCCACACACACACCCACACACTTCCCAACGAACATTTTCCTGAGAGTCGACGACTGATTGTGTCAATGCATGTTTTCCCTCCTGGCAAAACCCTTTGTTTGCTCCCCCGAACGGCGGTCAAAAAGCAGTGGGCCTGCCGTGCACGGTTTCCCCCTGAGAAAGTGGAGGAGGAGGAGGAGGAGGAGGAGGAGGAGGAGGAGGAGGAGGAGGGAGGAGGGAGGAAGAGGGGAGTAGGAGGGAGAGGAGGAGGAGAAGGAGGAGGAGGAGGAGGAGGCGAACGAGGAGAGGGAGGAGGAGGACGAGGAGGACGAGGGGGAGGAGGAGGAGGAGGAGGAGAGGAGAGGAGGAGGAGGAGGAGGAGGACGAGGAGGAGGAGGAGGACGAGGAGGAGGAGGAGGAGAAGAGGAGGAGGAGGAGGAAGGAGGGAGGAGGAGGAGTACGAGGAGGAGGAGGAGGAGGAGGAGGAGGAGGAGAGGAGAAGAGGAGGAGGAGGAGGAGGAGAGGAGGAGGAGGAGGAGGAGGAGGAGGAGGAGGAGGAGGAGGAGGAGGAGGAGGAGGGCCTTGCCGAAGGCACGGACCATCGGCGCCCCTGGTAAGGCGCGTAGTGAACTCCCCTGGGCTGCGGCGGAGACTTGAGTCAAGTACGCCTTCGTTGAGGAGCCCGAGCGAGCGAACGAACTGGCGCCTCTGTGGACAGGCCTCCAAGGGCGAGCAGGCGGAACACAGGCCACGATAGCAGTGGCGTCCGCTCTGACCACTGCCCCCTCGTTCAAACGAAAAACGAGGGGGGCGGCCGCACAGGCCTCTCACGCCCCTTACAATTGGGGCGTGGACCAAAGGAACCCTACATTCGCCGGCCCAACGGGCGAGAGGCGTGCTAAGATCTCCGGTAACTACTTAACAATATTTCTAGTTCGCGCGCGCGGGGCGGCCCCTGGGGGGCCCCGGACGAGAAGTACCCCGGCCGATCCCCGGCTGACCCCCGGGCGATCCCCAGGGGGGGGGGCTATTTTTCACCACCCCTCACAAGGATCGTGGCCTCCGAGGGGGGGGCTGCCAACGACTACCCCCCCTCCCGCCCCAAGGGGCCCCACAGAGCCCCCCAAGAGGCCCCAGGGGAGCCCAATACGCCGCCAAGAAGCCCCAAGACGCTCCCAAGAAGCCCCCAAGACGGCCCCAAGAGGCCCCCCAGATAGCGCTCCAGGGCCGGCGGAATGAGCGAAGCGAACAAATAAGGAACGAGGCCCCTTTTTCCTATAAGTTCAACTCCGATCTTCCATGGAAAACCTCAAGAAAACCCAAGGAGCACTGGAAAACAACTAAGGAACACAGAGCCCCTCCCAAACGAAAAGGGTCCCTTCTTCAGCGCCCCGACTGTATAGGAAGGCACCAACTATACACCAACACCGATCCTGGCCCAGGATCACCCTGGGCCCAGGATCGGTGTATACGCCCTCCTGCCTTGCGCAAGAAGGCATATACACCGATCCTGGGCCCAGGGTGATCCTGGGCCAGGATCGGTGTTGGTGTATAGTTGGTGCCCTCCGACTGTACGCCCTCCGATGAGGAGCCCAGGGCCTCGCGAGCGGTGGGCGGCCGAACGTGGGCCACCGGCCTCGGCGTGAAGCAGCAAGGAGTGCGCCAGGGTCGGGGCCCCAAGAAGACATTCTATAGGGGGCAAACAAACCTACACCCTGCGAAATGCTTTAGAAATCATGGGTTCAGAAATTCATAGTCTCAGAATTTGACTAGAAACCCAACATTTTTATTACAATCTTAGGAGTTACATTGAAGCATTAAGAATAATCGAGCCTCTGGCCGAAAACTTAGGTTTTCTTAAGCATCGCCTAAGGTGTACTTCGCTTCTGACCACCCTCGCTTCCAAGAGATACCGAGCGATGCCAAACTGCAGCATGTACTGGTCAGGCAGCTTGACGAGGAGGCGTATGGTATATGACTTGGTTTTGCCTGGAAGCGGGAGCGGGGCAGGTAATTCACGCTCTGATTCTAGGAGGCCACATGCGAAGCCTACCCCTACCCCCCACGATTTCTGAGGGGGAGGGTGGGGTTCACTTCGCTCGGGAGCTCCCGAGCAGCGTGACCCCCACCCTCCCCCTCAGAAATCGTGGGGGGTAAAGGTTAGGGCACGCACGTGGCCCCCTACGTTCCTGATCCGATGCCGCCGCCGTGTTCGCCCCCGTCGTCGTCCCCGAGCGGAGATCCTGGGCCCAGGATTGGCCCGGCGAGGATCACAGGCGGGTGGACGGCTGGGCGGGCGGCTTGCCCCCCCTCATCGGGCGGGAGCGGGAGCGGTCGAGCAGGGGATCGACTACGCCATAATCCATTTTCCCCATCGGATCCACGACAGATGCGTCACAGCGCCGCAAATCCACTGGGAATGCGAAGTGCTTGTCCGTAGATTCGGCGAGAGAGCAAAGATCTGGGGCAAGTCAGTGCTGTAGCAGATCCCCTGCTCGAAGCGGGGATCTTCTCCTTCGCTTTTCTACGCACACGCTAGCAGTTGTCTCTGTGAATTGATCTCTCGGCAGCCGAGCGGCGGGGCAGCCGCGCGAGGCCGCCCCCCCCCCGCAGAAGCGCGCGAGGGACGGCCCTGTGAGGGGGCGGGGACGGGGGGGACGGGGGACGGAGGTCGAAAGGGACGGGGAGGGGACAGAGAGGGGGGACGGGGGGGAGGGGGGGGGGGGACGGGGACGGAGAGAGGGGGGGAACGGGAAGGGGGGGGGGGGGGCGGTGGATAGAGGGGGGGGGAACGGGGGGGAGGAGGACGGGGATGGAGGGAGGATCTGGGAAGAATTGAGTTTTGTGGCAACTCATGGGAGCCTCCTGTACCACCCTGCTGGCCCTTGCAAGTCGACCCTGCTCGACGCCAGGTCCACGTCAACCGACGCAACCGACGCTACATCGGCGCCGCCTCATCTATCACCAGGCGCGAGACGACGCCAGTGCACTCGAAAGACAGGACTACGAGGGCACACGAGGCTCCCATGACTTGCTGCCGAAACGGAGGGGGAGAAGGACTGAGGGTCGATGGGGAGAGGGGGCACATGGGGATAGGAACGCGGAGGGGAGGCGGGGGGCGGGCCAGGGGCGGGACCGTGGCGACGGAGTCTGCGTCTCCACGATGTCGCCCGCCCACTCCCTCCCTGGCCCGAAGCCCACCGCCAGACTCGAGCTCATTGGACATGCTAACCAGCCTCGAACGTATCCCTGTCCCTAAGATTGACACGCCAAAAGGCGATGTCAATCTTAGGGATCCGCCATCAAAAAATAAAGGAATCACTAAGATTGGCAACGTGATGAGGAGATGCCCAGCATAGGGATAGGGATATGTTCCAGGCTGGTAAGCATGCGGCCGAAAAGTTGCCCAACAACCCAAGCATAAATGATTGAAACACGCCGTGTGCGGGGGTACGGGCTCAATGCTGGCCACCGAGGAGCAGAGGGGGCGCGGCTCCGATCGAGGCTGTCACATCGCGCGGCGGCCGCGTGAGCACGCGCTCCGCGTCAGACCTCGAACTCGCTTGGAAGCCCCTCGGCCAGAGTGCGCGGGGCGATCTGCACCCACACTGGCCAGGCCGTCGTTCTGATTGGCAATGCATGCAAAAGCTCATCCCCTCGGCGAGGCTGCACGCGCATCGCGCGGGCGCCGGCCTGCGGCTGCGGTGGCTATCGGCGTGTGCAGCGACGAACGATGAGACACCGCGCCTTGTGGCGCTCCAGCGGAGGGACGTCGGGGCGTGTCACGCGGCGCTTCGGCTGTTGCGCGGCGAGCATCGGCAGCCGTGGGCCTCCTGTTGGCCCCCACCAACTTCTGTTGGCTCAACTTTTTAGTTGAAAAGATCTCGTACAGTGCGGGCGAGGCCGCAAGAAACCCTCGCAAGAAACCCAACCCTGAGAACCCGTGCGCGTGGTGCACCTGAGGGGAAACCTTGAGCACCCTGAACGCAACAGCTCCTTCAACGGCTGCGGGAAGTCACCGCGCAGCGCGAGGAGCGAAGAAACCCAGGATACCCTGACGAAACACATACTCTGGATCGCTTGATAATCGCCCCCCCTTGGAGTGCCCGGGGGGGCTGGCCTCGGCGCGTCCTCGGTTGTGCCAGGGGGGGTCTGGGGTTCGTTCCCTTCCCCGCTGGGGCGCAGGGGGGGGGGTGCCGGGGGGGGGGGTTGGCCGCGCCGCGTTTTCACGTTTGTCACCCCCCGGATGCTGAAACAGAAATTCGGAGCATGATGCGCGCCCCCCCACTGTGCGCAACTCCTGTCTGTGCTGCTGCGTGGCCGCTGCCTGCGGGTCTATGTCGCGTCGTGCATGTGCCGGGCCGCGGCCCGGGCATGCCGAGGGCGTGGCCCGGGGCAGCGGCCCGCGGGTCCATGCACGGGGGCCTGGCCGCGCGTGGCCATGGAGGGGCCCTGGGACACACAAAGGAATACACACAAATAACAGGGTTCCCCATACGCTCCCATGTTTTTTTCTGGGTTTTTGTCTTCCCCCCCCACTGCCCATATTTTCCTATGTTTGCTGGGGAACCGACGATTCATTGTGTCTGTGTGTTTCTTTCCCTCCCGAGGCCAGTCGAGCGTGCGCGCCCGCTGCCAGGCAGGGTGGCTCTGGGAACTGTGCAGCAGCCCTGGGCGGCCCGTTTCTGGCCTTCGAGCACCCCGCACAGCTTCATCCAGCCTGACGGCCAAGTGCCCTCTGACAAGAACATCGGCGGCGGTGGCGATGCCCTCAGGACTTTCTTCTCAAAGACTGGTGCTGGCAAGCACGTGTCTCGCTGTGTGACGGTCGACCTGAAGCCCACTGTGGTCGACGCGGTACGCACAATTACCTGCCGTCCGCTGTTCCACCCTCACCCCTGGGAGGGAGGATGCGGCGAACAGTCTCGCGCGAGGGCACTGCAGAGTCGGCAAGGCGATCGCCGACCCTGTTCCCGATCGCACGAGGCAGCTGGCCGACCACTGCACACGCCGCCAGGGCTTCACGCTCTGCAGTGCCGCTCTGAGAGCCCCATGGGGGGGGGGCTTCGGGGCGCCCCTTCCCCCAAGGGGGGGGTCCCATGGCGGGGGTCCCATGCGGGGTGCCACGAGGGAGGGCCCGCCCGAGGAAGGGGAGGGTGGTCCCCGGCCAGAGAACTCCGAGACCCCCTCGCGCTGTGAAGAACTCACGGCGGCAGGTATTTCACTATCTTTGGCCTCCGAAGGCCCAGGCCGGGGCTCGGCTGCCCGATGCTGGAGCGCCTGGCCGTGGACTCCACCCCGTGCGCGTCCCCTTCGCCCCGTGGGCGTGCCCGCGGGTTGCCACCGCAGCGGTGGAGCCTTGCAGCACGGTGCTCTGCGTGCACTCTCGTTTTGAGCACGCGGGCGTGACCATCGCGTACGCCAGAGCCTCGTCGAGGACCGCTACCGCGGAGACAGGCCCAGCCTTGGCGGAACGTGGCAGATGATGAGGATGGAGGAAAATGCCTAAACAGGCAGAGAGGTAGAGGCAGCGGCAGTGCGAGGAGGACTAAATGGGCTAAATGCAAAGCGACAGGGGAGTCGCGCAGGAGAGCCCCTGGGGCCGCAGGAGGAACACGAGCCTCCGCAACCCCAGGGTCGCCGGCGCCGCAGGAGGAACACGAGCCTCCGCGGCGCGAAGCTGCCGCTGCAGGAGGAGCACGAGCCTCCGCAGCGGGGGGGGCGCAGGAGGAACACGAGCCTCCGCGCCCCGAAGCCAAGCGAGCCGCAGGAGGAACACGAGCCTCCGCAGCCCTCATGACTTGGCCGTTTTCTCGGGCAGCTCCCCGAGCACCAAACTTGGCCAACTTCACGGGCCAGCCTCGCCGTTGTCGAACAGCTGCGACGACACGAAGCCCGCGCCGAGGACCTCCCTGCAGGCGGCCTCGTGCGCGGATCGGGCCTCCGCCAGCTGGGACTCCAGCATCTTCACGGCGCACGCGGTGCCCAGGACCATCTGCTTGGCAGCGCTGACGGTCAGCGGCAGCCGCTTCTCCTTGGAGTCCTTCACGACGAGCTTCTCGGAGTCGCGCTTGGTCTCCCCCATGAACAGCCGAGTGCTCTCCAGGGCCAGCTCATCAATGGCCGACCCCACCGCCTTGACCTCCAGGGTGGCCTGGCATCCAGGGGCGCACATGAAGTCCTTCTTCATCAGCTCCCCCATCGGCTGAGCGCAAGGGTGCACTGAGACCTTCTCCTGCAGCTCCTCCTTCTCGTCCTCCAGGTCGTCCGTGGTGGGAGCCGACGCTGCATCGCCAGCCCCACGACGGCGGCCACGCGCCCGGCGCCGGGCCTCGCCCGCCGTGGTGGGCACCGCCTGCGGCCCTGCGCCGAAATCGGCGTGCTGGGCCCAGCCGCGGAAGGCGCGACTGGCCCCAGAGGGCCGAGCCACGACGCCTTCGCGGCCCGCCCGCACCATCTCGGTCAGGTGGGGCCTTCCAAGCTGCTCCCTTGCCGCCACCTCCTCGTCCACCTCGGAAGCCAGGCGCGGGGCGAGGAGAGAAGCGCCCACGCGAAGGGCCGAAGCGACAGCGGCGGCCACCACCTGCCGCCCGCCGCCGCCTTCAGCAGCCCCTGCAGCCGCCGCCTTGACCAGCGGCGCAAGCAACGCCACCTGCTCCCCGACGAGGGGAAGGACCGCCGCCATCGCCCGAGCCGCGGCAGGGGGCAGCAACAGCCCGCCTGGCGCCCAAGCAGGCTTGAGCCAAAATGGCTTGAGCCAAAATGGCTACGGGGCAGTGTGAGGAGGAGGAAGAGGAGGAAGAGGGGGAGGCGGCGAGGAGGTGGAGGAGGAGGAGGAGGCAGCTGGAGGGCAGAGCAAATTCAGCCGGCCAGCAGGTTGAGGCAGCATTTCCACCCGGCTTAGGCTTCTGCCGTCAAACAAGCCACCGGCGTGCCGTGGCATGCTGAGGCCAGTTTCGCTGGCTTGGTTCTCCCCGCGTACGACAGCGAGGCGCTGTACGACGTATGCCGCCGAAGCCTGGCCATCGAGCGTCCCATGTGCACCAACCTCAGCTGGCAGCTGGCGTAGACCATCATGTCCTCGCTGACTGCGGCGTGGCGCTTCGACGGCGCTCCGAACGTGGATATCACCTAGATCCAGACCAGCCACTTCATGCTCGAATGGTACGCGATCTCTAATGAGAAGGCGTACCATGAACAGCTGTCCGTAGCGGAAATGACCGTGTCCGTCTTCGCTCGAGCCCGCCACCATGTTCGTGAAGTGCGACCCTCGTCATGGCAAGTGCATGTCATGCTGTATGATGCATGCTGAATGCCTCCCACCTCAATCGGTGGCCATGGGCAACGTCCCGTCTGAAGCGCTGTGTGCCAACGACCTTCGGAATCAACGGGGCGGCGAACGGGAGAGAGATTGATATTTTGCCGTGAGTCTGCGGAGACTCTCAGGATGGCACCCTCAAGCCCTCAGACGCAGCTTACTCGTGTCAAGCCCTTTTTTCTCTCGATGTGCTGTTCGGCCCGTTCCAGAGTCTGCACCGAATCAACTCAGCCTATGTGCAGTGTGTTGTTCTGTGCCGGTGTTAGTCGTGCCGTTGGGTCCGCTTCAAGCTGCTGTATAAAGTTGAAGTCAACATGCGAGCGTACATATGCTTTTTCAGCATTCCAGCCCTCTTTGCCCTACTGAACTTTGCAGCACTGCTGCATGCGAGCTCTGGTCGCTGCTCGAGGCTGTACGCCTTCAGCTGGATGGCCCCATGGGGCGTTTCCACGCCGGCGTTTTAAACGTGTGATTTGCCGTCGCTCTGTTTACTCTACCCATCGGTCGGAAGAAGTAGACAGAATCATGAAGTAGGAAGGCGTTGAATGTAGGCTGGGTTCCGTCCGCCCCTTGAGGACGACGGAGAAGGGGAAGTCACTCGACAAACTGAAGTGGGACGGCGCCCAGAGCAGATCGGCGCCTGGGAGTCCAAGAATACCCACTTCCAGCGGCCGATGGGCACTGACCTCGCCACGCTTCCGTGCGATGCTGCCTCGCGGTGCGGATGCGTCGCTCTGGATGCGTCGCTCTCTGTGCGGCCCCGCCTGCATCCACCTTTTCTTGGTGCCGCTCCGCGGCCCTCGGGGATCTTCTGACCCGGGTCAATCCAGACCTGGGTCAGCAGGAAACCAAACACTGCAATGCAGGAACAAAAAACTGCAACGCTGAACTTCGCAAGCCCGGGTCAGCCAACATGCGCGGCCGCCTCGCGGCCACGAGCGGCTCGCCGACCCGGGTCAGCCAGAGGGGGTCTTCGCAGGATCCTGCAGGATCCGGTGCCCTGGCTGACCCCCGTTTGCATTGACCCCCGGGAGGAGCTGGCCCGGAGGAACTGGCAGCTCTTCTCTCTCTCTCTCTCTCGAGGAGGAGGAGGAGGAGGAGGAGGAGGAGGAGGAGGCGTCGGAGAGGAGGAGGGGGAGGAGGAGGAGGAGGAGGAGGAGGTGGAGGAGGAGGAGGAGGAGGAGGAGGATCGCTGACCCCCGCCTCTTGAGCTCCGCGGCCCTCCAGGGAGCGGGCGCCCGGCCCCGCCGGCTCGGCGGGCTGCCCCCCCAACGGGAGCCGCGGGCGCGTGCCCGTGCCCCCGCCCGGGGGCGCAGCCGGCAGGCGGCGAGACCCCCTCCTCCTCCTCCTCCTCCTCCTCCTCCTCCTCCTCCTCTCTCCTCCTCCTCCTCCCGCCTCCTCCTCCTCCTTCCCCTCCTCCTCCTCCTCCTCCTCCTCCTCCTCCTCCTCCGCCTCTCCTCCTCCTCCTCCCCCTCCTCCTCCTCCTCTCCTCCTCCTCCTCCTCCTCCTCCTCCTCCCCTCTCCTCCTCCTTCCCCTCCTCCTCCTTCTCCTCCTCCTCCTCCTCCTCCTCCTCTCTCCTCCTCCTCCTCCTCCTCCTCATCGCTACGCGATCAGGCAGAGACTCCAGAACCCTCCGCTCCTCCTCCTCCTCCTCCTCCTCCTCCTCCCTCCTCCTCCTCCTCCCCCTCCTCCTCCTCCTCCTCCTCCTCCTCCTCTCCTCCTCCTCCTCCTCGTCCTCCTCCTCCTCCTCCTCCTCCTCCTCCGCCTCCTCCTCCTCCTCCGCCTCCTCCTCCTCCGCCTCCTCCTCATCATCGCTACGCGATCAGGCAGAGACTCCAAAGACTCCTCCTCCTCCTCCTCCTCCTCCTCCTCCTCCTCCTCCTCCTCCTCCTCCTCCTCCTCCCCCTCCGCCTCCTCCTCCGCCTCCTCCTCCTCTTCCTCCTCCTCCTCTTCCTCCTCCTCCCCTTCCCCCTTCCGCTGCAGACGCTGCAGCCAACCCGCACGAGAAGGATGCGCGATGCAGTCGGTCTTGATGGGGCTGGACACGCGAGAGGACACGAGACCCTTCCGAGGGCCACATTGCCCTAGGAATGTGGGAGGCGTTGGCCGCGAGGCACGGGACGCAAAGGTACCCTCGATCTGGCCGGGTCGACCTCCTAATCAGGGCCGACTGCACGGCTGCGCGGGCCTCGGGAGGCCCCGCCAGCACTCTGCGAGCGGGGCGCGGCCGGCGAGAGCGGCCAAGGATGGGCCGGAGGGGCACGGATGCACGGGGCACCCCTCTTTCGGGAGCGGCCAAGAGGGGGGTGTCCTAGAGGGGGGGTGCAAATCATGACCGGCGGCATGTGCGCGGCCCAGCGGGGGGGCCAGGGACGTAATGAAATAAGAAGAGGCGCCATGAAATCTGGGGAAATATCATGGCCCACGCCATGATATCCCCCCCCCCCTAGCCATCACCCCTCTCTTTTCCGCCCCCGACTCTTGGGAGGGCTGCCCAGGCTTCTCGTGCGGGCTGGCTGTGCCCCGTGTTCCTTCTACTCCCCAGGAGGCCTGCCTGCATGCCCATGCTTCTTGCTGCCCGGGTCTGGCGCGGCACCTCGCGGCCTCTGACGCTCCGAGCCTGCATGCTGTGTGGCGTGCCGCGGAGACGTGGTGCCAAAGGATGTGAGCGCAGCACCTGCTGCTATCAAGACAGAACGCACCATGCAATCAGGCGACTGGTGCCACAGTTCTGCCGTACTACGCATTTTCAAGGCTCGCCCCTGCAGAAGCCCTTGACCAGGCAGTTGCCGAGGTCGCGAAGGCCATGCCTTCTGCGGAGGCCCAGGTGTCGCGCAGCCGGCGCCGAAGGAGGGCCAGGGCTGCCCGGGATCGTGGCATTTGACGACGTGGCGCCCCGGCGTCATCGGCTCCCACATCTGCAGTGTCCCGGGGACCACGCCTGCCCCTGTGCAGGTTGCTGCCGATGTTCGGAGTTTGCTCGAATGCATGGGTGGCTGGTAGTTCATTTCACATCCTGGTGGTTAGTCTGTTTCAGGGCGAGGACAAGGCTTTTCGTCACATGCTTCTGTGGTTGGCCGCTCTGGTTTGCACAGTACCTCCAGCCATGTGCAGGGTATGACATGCATGCACGGCTTTTCCGCAGGGCGAATGGTACGCCATTGCTTCGCGCTGGTCTGGACCTTCCCTCCGCGGGGGGTTCGGTCTGCTCGCCTTCACGGGTTGCCGAAGGAGGGGGGGCTCTTTGCGACTTTAAAAAATATCCGCTCAGACAAGGAAGGCGACTGGTGCCACAGTGGCTTCAAATGCGGCATCGGCTTCCAGCCTCCCACAGTGATCCCTGGCGGTGACCTGGCCAAGGTGATGTGTGCCTGCTGCACGATCAGCAACTCAACCGACATCGCGGCGGCTTTCTCGTGAATCGCCCACACGTTCGACCTCACATACTCAAAGCGCGCGTTCGTGATTTGGTGTGTCGGCGAGGGCATGGCGGAGGGTGAGTTCTCCGAGGCTCGCGAGGATCTTGCGACACCGGAGAAGGACTACGAGGAGGTGGGCATTGAGACGGCGGCGGGCCAAGGCGAGGAGGAGGGCAACGGCGACGAGGTCCGCGCAGGCTGCCAGAGAGCAGCGGCACGAGGAAGAAGCTCACGAGGCGCACCTCTTCGCTTGCATGCTGCGAGCAGGTCGCTGAGGCACGGCGTGCCCTCCACGTCGCACCTCGGTCACCTGCGTGGTCTCCGCTCTGACAGCCTGACGAGCAGCCCATGCCGACCCAGGTTGGCCGCCTTGCTGGACCGCCGCGTGTCCCCTCCGCCCTGTCGTGCCGCCGGCACGAGAGGCCGGGCACCGCTCCTCTGGCCACACGTCCTGGAGCGCACGGCGGCACACACGGGAGGAAGGAAGAAGGGGGAAGGACCTTGTCCCTCAGGACAGGGTCATCCCCCCTCCTCCCTTCACCCCCTCGCCCCTCGGGACTTGAAGAGGAAGGATGGAAGAGGAGTAGGGAAGAGGGTAGAGGAAGGGGAGGAGGGAGGAGGGAAGAGGAGGGAAGAGAGGGGGGAGGAAGGGAAGAGGAGGAGGGCAGAGGAGGGAAGAGGAGGGAAGAGGAGGGAAGAGGGAGGGATGAGGACGGAAGAGGAGGGAAGAGGAGGGAAGAGGAGGAGGAGGAGAGAGGCGAGAAGATGAGGGAGGAGGAAGGGGAGGGGGGAAGAGGAGGGAAGAGGAGGAGGGAGGGGGGAGGAAGGGGAGGAGCTTGCCCCAGAAGAGGACCTCGTTCCTGCCCTCCGCCATCGGCCGCTGGCAACGTTATGCTTCTGCCGCTCTTGGCATCTGAGTGTGCTTTCCTTTCCTGCTTAAGCTTCCGGGCCTGCACGCGCCGACGGCCTGATTTTCAGGGACGGCCCTTCGCCCAGGTCGACGTGTCGACGTGCGCGTTTGAAGGGGCCCAAGGACACACAAATAAACACACACACACACAAGTACAACTATTCCCATGGCTTCCCATATGCCTGGGCTTATCGTCTTTCCGCCCACTTCCCATATTTGCCATTATTTCCGGGGGAATCGACGATTAATTGTGTCTGTGCGTTTCTTTCCCTCCTGAGCGTTTCCCTGTAAGAACGCCGAAGCCACAACGCGAAAATTCGCCCGACGTGGAGCGAGAAGACACGCAGGGAGGCGAGGGCGGGTGGGACTGCGGTGCTGGTGGGGGGCGTCGCTAAAGCTCGCCCGACGTGGAACGAAAAGACACGCAGGGAGGCGAGGGCAAGTGGGGCTGCGGTGTGGGTGGGGGGCGTCGAGCCTTTCTCAGCAACCCCGCGCGCTTCCGTGGAGGGCCGCCCCGTGCGGCTGGCCCTGGCCCTGACAGATTACTGCCAATCTCGCATCCCAGCGCGCCAGAATGTGGCAGCCCAAGCTCTCGGCGGCTCTCGCATGCCCCTGCCCCCTCGCCCGTCCTCCCCTCTCCCTCCCCCGTCCCCGCCCCCTGGCCCCCCACCCCCCCCCCTCCCCACCGGGAGCCCGACTCCCAGGGAGGCCGCTGGGCCACGAATTGCTCCCAGGAGTCCCTCCCCCCTCGCCCAAGCGGGTGCTCGCCAAGAGCCCGCCCCGGCGCACCTGAACGGGGAAAGCCCCCGCACGCCCGCGGGGCGCCGCCAGACTCTGCCGCCCATCGCTCCAGCTGAACACGACGGCCGCCCTTTCCGAGTCTGAAGTCGGGCATGTCCCTGTACCGGAGGACTACCCAAAAATAGAGAGAACAAAAAAGGTCTGGGGATGAGTTGTCGTGCCTTTTTGGCAATGCTTGACATTGTTTTGTATTTGTCTTCTGAAATCCGCCTGCAGGAAGACATGCCCCACTGAACCCGGGTGCAAAAACGCCTGCCGCCGCCAGGCTCAGTCCGCCTTCCAGAGGAGCAGGTTGTCCTGCGAGGCGAGGGGAGGGGCGCACAAAGGCGGATGCCACGGCAACCCTTCCTACTCCTTTTCCTCCTCCTCCTCCTCCTCCTCCTCCTCCTGCTCCTCCTCCTCCTCCTCCACGTCCTTCTCCTCCTGCTCCTCCTCCACCTTCCCCATCCACCTCTTCCTCCTCCTCCTCCTCCTCCTCCTCCTCCTCCTCCTCCTCCTCCTCCTCCTACCGCTCACATCCTCCTCCTCCTCCTCCTCCTCCTCCTCCTTCTCCTCCTCCTCATCTCTTAAGAAAATGATGAAACACAAACCACAGATGTTGTTGCGACGTCCTGCGCATCGACCTCCTCCTCCTCCTCTTTTTTCAGCCTCCCCTTCCTCCTCCTCTTCCCCATGTTCCTCCACCTCCTCCTCCTTCTCCTCTTCCTCCTCCTCTTCCTCCTCCTCCTCCCCCCATTCTTCCTCCTTTTTTCCCGACTGCACAGGAGCACGAAGGCCGCATCGGGGCACCGAGTGGAAAAGGAGGAGGAGGAGGAGGAAGAGGACGAGGAGGAGGTGGTGGAGGCGGAAGCGGAGACCGTGGAACAGGAGGAGGACGTTTTTTTTTGGACGCCTTCTGGTGTGCGGGGGGCGAGCGTCTCGTCCCCCCGCCCAACCATTCTCGCTGGCGCCCGCTTGGCCGCGGCGCGACTTCGACCCGCGCCACCCGCAGAGCGCTGGGCCCCTCCCCAAAAGCGAGTGCCGCCATCTCCCTTGAGACGCGGCCACCGCTGGTTGCGGGAAAGAGCGCGACTCAATCTCACCTGGGGGTGGAACTCTAAACCCTTGACGGAACCCAGGCAAGAGGTGGTCGTGTCCTTGACGAACGCGGCACCAAACTGTAAGACATGGAGCAAAGACTTTGGATCCGCCCTGGGACCACGGTCGTGGTTGACAACCTCGCTGGTGAACGCCACTGCCTCATGCCACCAACTACGCGCCACGGCCCGTAGCCACGGTCTGAATCACAGATGGACAGTGTTGCTGAACGCCACCAACTGAATGCCACGGGCCCTAGCTACAGCTTGAAACACGATACGGGGCCCCCTTCACTTGAGCACAGCAATGGAAGAAAACCAGCAACACTTGGACTCCATCACCGGAGACTGGCTCGAAACATTGCGAACGGCATGAAGTAGCAAAACCATTCCTTTGGCCAGAAGCAACCAACATGCCCTCCCCTAGCGGCTTCGGGAAAACTTACACTGTAGTTGATTAAGCGGCAGCGACGACCTCGAACAGGGCGAACATGGCGGGGCGCTGCGCGACGACCGCGTGCGCCATTCTCGCTCCAGCTCACCACCATCCTTGAAACGCCGCCCGCCCCTTTTGAGCATGTGTGGAGGGCAAACTTTCCCAATCCACCACCAGAGCTGCTTCAGCAGAAAAACGCACATACACTTCCCAAGCGGCGTTGGCATACTGCTGCATTCCAGCAGATGATGTCAACCACCAGACAGATTCACCTTCGCCTGTTCACCGAACGCATTCCTGCGGCGGTTCCTTGCGCCCCCCCTCAAGCGCGGGCCAAGGTCCGCGCGCCTTTCGGCGGCCACATCTTTGACGGCGCGCGGCAATCGGCACCCTCAACCGCAGGCCTGTTGGAGCCAAAACTGGTCTGGGCCGAGATGTAACTTGAACCAGCATGGCCACGGACAGGAGGAAGAAAAAGGAGGGCGGCGGAGAAAACAGACAGTGGGCACAACAAGGGTTGGCTAGGTGCCGCGCGCACACAGCGCCCTTTCCATTACTGCGAGTTGATTAGGTGCCGTGCACTCCCGGGAAACAAGCGTCGCCCTCCACTCTTCCTGTCCCCTGCGCCAAACTGCCCCTTCTCACCCGCCTTCGCGGCACTGCAAGGGCTGATTAAGGGCCGAGACGCCGCGCCGTCTTCCCCGCCAAGAAGAAGTGCAACCATAATACAAGTGAGACGTGATCTGGCGCGGCAATGGACATCAGTGCGCCCGCAGCAATCGAAACGCTGGCCGCGGGTAGTCTCTTGCTCCCGTGTTTGCATCGCACCCCCGTGTTCTCCCAGCTCCAACTACCTCCGGATCCCCGAAGACATGGGCGACGACTCGAACGAACTTGGAGAGGGGAGAAGTGAAGATCGGAGTTCAGGCGGAAGTAGAAAGATGCGATATCCTCCCCGATAGCAACCCCGTCGCCTGAAGAAAGCACCCCAGCCGCCTCCGGCAGCTGAGGTCCGGCAGCTTGGAACAGCTGCGCCACTATAGAAGCGCGCAAAACCAAGATGCAGTGCTCGGATTGCGCTGCTCGGACGTCCTCGGCCAAGCCGCCGCTCGCAGTTCCGCGCGGGCCATTGCCCGGGTTGCCGCCGCGGGGGCAGCGCGCCCCGCGCGGGAGGCCGGACAGAGCCCGGCGAAACGAGGGCCAACCATCCAATAAAAACTGGGCGGATTTGACAGCGGCCGCCGCAAACACGCACTGATCGGCCCAAACAAAATCGAAGGAACCGCCGGTGTCTTGCCCGCCCAGGGCACGCAGATGAACTGTCTTCAACAAGAAACAGCTGAAAGGAGGCAGGGGGTCAGAAAGAAGTCTGGGGCGCGCGAAAGTGCCGACGGCCAGAAAAAGAAGCAGGCATGCGTGAAAGCCAGGCTCGATGCGCGCAGAGCGCCGGCGCAGGTCGACTTGCCCCCGTTCGGCCGCGGAGCTCGCGGGGCCCCTCAAAATATTACTAATGGATATAACAAGGCGCGGGCAACCATGCCTTTTAGGAAAACGCGACCGACCTGCTAACCGCGCGGCGCGTGGCGGGTCCGCGAACGCACCAAACGCGCGCCTATCCTTGATGAGGCGCATGAATTAAGATACCGGGTGTAAGCGAAGAGACCTCATCGCTGGTCACCGGCAGGATAAGCAAGACAAGAGGGGCGCTGGCGGCCGAAACGAAACCCTCAAAGTAGCCATGGACATATCCTGGGCGGCG